CTGTTGTACGCACTGGCGAATGCTTTTGCGCCTTCTGGGTCCGACTTGAAGGCCGCGCTCTCCGCGATGGAGGCTGGTGGTTCGTCTGCTTCGTCTCTAGCGTGCATGAATGCTGCTGCCTTCCATGCGTCATTCATGACCGTGGTGTCGATCTTGGGCGTTGCCTCTACCGTGAAGTCCTTGAGTGATTTGGTCGCCCCGCTCCATGTCTTTGACAGTATGTTCGGTCTACTAGCTTCTTGCGAGCGGGAGTGATCATCACTTTCGTGGTCCTTCTCGCTCGTATATGGCATCTCCTGCTCATTCGTGACGCTGCCCCTCTCGTCGATCGAGCCGCCGTGCGTAGCTAGGAGCTCCATTTCCCTGTCCCTCTCGTAGCGCGCCATCATCTCGAAAATGTCTGCCTCTCCACTGTCGCCGTGTTCCTTATACTCGGCTGTGTCATCATAGGGGTTCACTCCTTCTCTGTACATGCGTTTCACTGTTTTGCTTCGTCCACTGCGCACGGGAGGCTCAATCCTCGCGTTTTGGCCCAGGTATCCATATCCACTTCTTGCTCCGATAGGTGATTGCCCAGGCGAGGTCCCCCGACTCTGCCGCTCGTTGTATTCGCGGTTCACATGGCATCCGCGGGCTAAGCCCCCCCCCCCCCCCCTCGCGTTCAGTCTGTCGGTGTCCCAGGGTCTGAGGCCGCTCTGTTAGTTGCGAGGTCCTGTCTGCCACAATACTCTCCACGTAGTCCGCGTCATGCACTCTGGGCTCGTCAGGGACCTCCGCCAGTATGCTAGGTCCACTAGCTTCTTGCGAGCGGGAGTGGCCATCACTTTCGTGGTCCTTCTCGCTCGTAAATAGCGGCTCCTGCCCATTCGTGACGCTGCCCTTCTCGTCGTTCGAGTCGCCGTACATCGCCGGGAACTCCGTTTCACTGTCCCACTCGTAGCGTGCCATCTCCTCGAACGCGCCTGCGTCCCTACTGCCGCCGTTTTCTTCATACTCGGCTATGGCATCAAAGGGGTCCGCATCTTTTCTGCACATGTGTTCCACTGCGTTGCTTTGTTCACTGCTCGCGCGAGGCTCCATCCTCGCGTTCTGGCCCTGGTATTCGTATCCACTGTTTGCTCCAATAAGTGTTTGCCCAAGCGAGGCCCCCCGACTCGGCCACTCGCTGTGTTCACTTTTCTCATGGCATCCGCGGGCTGAGCCCCCCCCCCCCCCCCCCCCCCCCCTCGCGTCCAGTCTGTCGGTTTCCCAGGGCATGGGTCCGCTCTGTTAGTTGCGCCCTGTCTGCCACAATGTTGGTCACGTAGTCCGCGTCGTGAACTCTGGGCTCGTCAGGGACCTCCGCCAATGGGCCCTTCATCCCGTCTTGTACCATCGGGTGCATGACCCAGCCCTCTGGCCCCAAAGCTTCCCGCCTCGCACAGTCCAGGTCTCTTTCCCTGCTCTCCGCGAATGCCTCGGAGTTGGTGAGGTCCTCGTATCCAGCTGCAGCTGCCACTTCAGCTTGCTGTCTTGTTTGTGCCGCTGTCTTCTGTCGTTGCGTGTTGCTGTTCGGGTTGGGTGTCTTCTTGGGTCTGGGCGGGTGTGGAAACGCCGTCGGGAGCTTCAGCTGCCTGCGCTTCGTCGATACCCCTTCTCCGTACAACTCTATCTTCAGCGCGATGTGTGGCTTCCATGGAACGTCGTGGATGGGCTCGATGCTCTTCGCGAGTTTCTCGGCCCTCGAGTCCACCATGGCAAAATCGATGTTCGACTCCGCCTCTCCCAGGAAGCGCGCGTTGTCGCCCTCTGGGGCCATGATGGCTGCCCCTGCTCCCGAAGCTTTGGCTCAGCCCGACCTCCAGAACTCTTCGGGCGCATGGTTGAAATCTCCGCAGATGAGCCGCGGCAGGTCCGTAGCCTTCACAAAGCTGCCGCTGATGATAACTTCCTTGAACTGATACCCTCCGGAAGGGAGGAATTTGCATCCAAATAAATACTAATGACCAATAACGTGAATCCTTTTATGTGCCATGCCACTGGTGTCCAGTCGCACATGTCGTAGTCGCAGTGCTTCCCCTTCAACATGTTCGTGGTTGCCTGGGATATCTGGCCCCTGGCTGCGCGTCTGAAGGACGTCGCTTGGTGGTGCCCCTTCATCAGCATGGCTGTTCCCCACATGAACCTGCCGATGATCTCTTGCTCCTTCGAGCCCCCGTGAAGCAAGCCTTGAAGCCCTCCTTCGTCAGCTTTGCTTCAATGTCCCCTACCTTGTCGACTGTGACGTGTGTCTCCTGCATCGCGTAGGCGTCGAACTCCCTTCTGTTCGCCGAACGCATGAGCCACGCGTGCACAGTCGGTCCCCATGTAGTTATGTTGGCGACGCACAGGCTGCGCGCACGGGGGCCGCCGTCGTCGCGCTTCCGACGGCCTCCCTGCGCTGCAACCTAGCTGGTTCCATCTGTCCTTGCTGCTCTTGCCGCCTTCAGGATCTCGTCAGTGTCATCCACGTCCGTGGCTTCTTCTTTGACCTCTTCTTTGGGCTCCTGATCAGGCTACTGCAGCTCAACTGTTGTGCCTCCGTCGCTATTCCTCTTTTTGGCCGCCTGCGTTATCACCGTTCTTTGTTCCGCTGCTTTTGCCTTCGCGATCTCCAAGTGCGTCTTCAGCTGGCCCGCGAACGAGGCTGCGTTCGCCTTCAGCTGTGCGACCACCTCCTGTTTGGCCTTTTGTATCGCCATCTTCCCCTCGTCGTCCAGGTCCTCGTCGTTGATGCCCAGTGCTTCGTTTACTTCCCGCAAGTCGCCTTCCGCTAGCTCCGCCACGTTTGACGAGAGGAGTTGCGCAAGTACTCCCTGTGGTGGTGCGTTTTTGCCTTCTGCCTGAATGCCTTCGACTTCCACTTCCATGTCGACCGCCAGTGCTGCATGCTGATGTACATCTGCTTTGAGCTTTGCCATCTTCTCCCCTGCCTTCTTTAGCTCCTCTCTTTTCCACTCATAGTTCCTTGTCGCCTTCTGCAGTCTGGTTGCCGCCTCTGCCAGGCGCACCGCCTTTGGCTTCCTCTCTGGTGGAGGTGCTGCCGCCGCGGCCACCTGGCTCGCCATTCCATTCAGCTGCCGTGCGAGTTGGTCTCCGTTCTGTATGCCCATGGTCTGCAGCGAGTTCGTCATCATGTTCATCGCTGTGGCGAATGTCTCCGCTGCTTTGCCTCCTTTTCCTTTCCATCCTGCACCTCCTTTGCCGCCCTTGCCGAAGCCCTTGTCCTTGCCGCTTTCGTGGGCGAGCTTCTTGTCGGCGTTGCCGTTCCAGTTGCTCTCTTCGTCCCACTCCAGCTGTCTGACATATGGCGGCTTGGCAATCTTCATGTTGCAATTGCAAGTCCAGTCCATGTTGCACAGCTTGGTGTGGTACCACCACTCGTTGCAGTGTTTGCAGATCGAGTACTGGTCCTTCATCTGCTGCGCCCTCGTACCCTTGCCGCCAATCGAACCTCCACTTCCTCGGCCGCCCATTCTGGGAGCAGCGCTGCCGTGGTGGTCGTCCAGCCGCTTCTGTCGCGCTCCAGCCTCAAGCGCCTCCTCGCTTCTCCCCTCTGGCGCCGCTCCCTGCGGTGCCAACCTGGCGAGCGGGAGCGCGCGGCTGCCGCGCTGCGGCGCCCCTCCGTGGGGCTGGGGGCTATCGCTCGGCGGGCGCCCGCGCCGGAACAAAATGCCTGCGGGGCCCGCGCGAAGCCACCTGAGGGGGGAAGTGAGAAGGATGAAGCCTTCTCAGAAGGAGGCGGGGCTCGTCAGAAGCCCTCCCGCCTCCTGAGCGGCTCTCTGTGTCTTCGGGGAAGGCTCAGACAAATTCTCAGGGGGACCTCCGAGCATATTCTGAGAAGGCCCGCCCCTTCTCGGAAGCCTGGTGGTGTTCTGGTCCTGGTCCTGGTCCGGCTGTCCGGCCGACGTCTGGGCGGATCCGGCCCCCGCGGAACACCTTTGGCGAGGCGCAGCTGATGGAGAGCACCCCGAGGCTGGAACACTGCCGAGAGCCAATCGAAACGTCCGAAAACCTCAGATGGGACGCGCAAAGACATACTAGTACTATCTGTTCTCCTTGGAGGCGCGCGTCCGACCCAAACATATAGCACACCCATCTTGTAGTGTATCGTTTCCCGGGCGGTGTGGCCAGAAAGCGCCCGCCACGACGCATGTACTATAAGATTTCTCGGTGCGCGCATCGCCCCCTGGGGGGCGACGCACATATTGAAAAAGTATGTCTGGGTGACGCCGGTCAGACTTCGAACCTCGCGCCCCTCCTCACTTCCCCCCTTTGACGGCGAGCGAGGGGGGGAAGTGAGAAGGGGCGGGGTCTCTCACAAGGCTCGGAAGTTTTGTAAGCCTCCCTCGAAGACACACACAAACTTCTCAGAAGGCGCGAGGGCTTCGGAGAAGCCCCGCCGCCTTCTGAGAAGGCCCTCTCCCTCTCCCTGCCCCCCCTCGCTCGACGCCGACCCCCGGGGGCCCGCCGCCGAGTCTTTGAGCAGGGACCGACCGTCCCGGCATTCCTATAGTCCTACCACGAAATGTTCTTCGAACCCAGAAATGTTCTAAGAACAACAACCATGTTCTTAGAACAGAAACCCGATGCGACAAAGCAAGACAGGCGCCGCCAGAAGTGTCCTGAGAACCCTTCGTGGAAACCGCAAAAAGGTTCCTGGAACATTGTTTGGTAGGGCCCATAGTCGAGCCAGGACGCCTCGCCACTGCTTGAAAGTCTGCGCCTTTCATGGGCGTTTTGGGGGGGGGCCCGGCGCCAGCCAGCTGCCGCCGAAGACGCAAGAAACCCCGCAGAAGGCGCGAGGGCCTCGGAGAAGCCCCGCCGCCTTCCGAGCAGGCCCTCTCCCTCTCCCTTCACCCCCCTCGCTCGCCGCCGACCCCCTGTTCGCTCCGAGGAGGAGGAGGAGGAGGAGGAGGAGGAGGAGGAGGAGGAGGGCCCGCCGCCGAGTCTGCGCCTCCCCCGAGCGTTTGGGGGGGAGCCTGGCGCCAGCCAGCTGCCGCCGAACACCAGCTGCTCCGGCCGCAGTGCCCGCGCCGCGAGGCGCAGGGCGGCACCGCTGGGCCTGAGGGGCTCGGGGGTCGGGCCCGTCTGGAGTCGGGCCTGCCCCCCTACAGGGAGATTTGCGACGATAAATAAAACAATAATAAAAGAACGCCAAAATGGTAAACACATGCTCCAAAAATAGTCCCAAGACACTGATTGTGGACTATTTTGGGGGTACTTCTCATTTTTCGTCGAAAATCCCGCTGTAGGGGGACACGCCCGACTTAGGGCTCGTCTGGAAGGGGCCCAGGGACACACACATGAAGATACACACAGATAACAGGAATCCCCCCATCTTCCCATACTTTTCTTAGGGTTTTCGTCTTCCCCCCCGCTCCCCAGATGTTCCCATCTTTTCCCGGGGGCCGACGTTTCATCGTGTCTGCGCGTGTTTTTTCCCCTCTTGACTGTCCTCCTACGGGCGGATTCTGGTCGAGAGCTACAGGAAAGACCCCCAAAAAATGCACCCAAAATGCCCAGCATGGTCTAAAGATCGTCCCCAGACTATTTCCTTGGAGTGCTTTTGAATATTCCCCCTGCAGAGGGACAGGCCCGACTGAAGCCTGGGGCCGGCGGGGAGCGGGGCGGGTGTGCCGAGGTCGCCCAGATAGAGGCCTCCCAAGTGGTCGTCGTCGTCGTCGTCGTCGTCGTCGTCGTTATCGTCGTCGCCTATCGTCTATCGTCGTCGTCGGGAGGAGCGTGGGGAGGTCTTGACTTGTCTTCAGCGGCTCTGAAGGATTCTGTGGGGTTCGTTTCAGAGACTCCAGGAGGTTCTGGCAAACTGCAATCGGACCTGGGGCAGAACAACATCCTTCAAGAACATGAGACACTCCGCCGGCCAAAGCGCACAGAACATCCGAGGGTGTTCTCCCCAGGATGCACCAGAACATCCAACAATCACGAAGAACACTAGAGCACCCTCCCCGAACCGACCTCGACCTTCTACCTCGGCCCGACTGCAGATGGTGTCGGAATACCGCCCCACATTGCCGATGCATCGCCGACGTCGGCGTGGAGAAGATCGGGTTCCGGCATCGAGCCGCATCGCCGAAGAAGAAAAAGCCACATCAACATCAACTTTTTGAAGGGGCCTCAGAACATACAAACAAATACACACAAATAACAGTATTTGCCATATTTTCCTATATCTTCCCATATTTTCTGGGGGATCGACGATCGATTGTGTCTGCCTGTTTTTATCCCTCCTGATTTTGGCGCTTCGCGCGGATTTCTTGGATCTGCGCTGCACCCCCCTCCCTGGCGCGCGAAGCGCGCCAGGGGCGGCGTCAGAGGCGCCGCCGGTGGGCACAGCGCAGATCCTCCTCCTCCTCCTCGTCCCCCTCCTCCTCCTCCTCCTCCTCCTCCTCCTCCTCCTCCTCCTCCTCCTCCTCCTCCTTACTCCTCCTCTTCCTTTTCCTCCTCCTCCTCCTCTTTCCTCCTCCTCCCCCCCCCCCTCCTCCTCCTCTTCCTCCTCCTCCTCCTCCTCCTCCCCCTCCTCCTCCTCCTCCTCCGCCTCCTCCTCCTCCTCGTCCTCCGCCTCCTCCTCCTCCTCCTCCTCCTCCTCCTCCTCACCCAGGGAGCAGGCTTGAGGGTCTTGGGCGAGGCGAGCGAGTCTTGGGCCGACTCGCGGGACGAAAAGGCACGGGGCCTTTTGCGAGAAGACCATCGCGACCCTGCGCCGAGGCCTGCGCGGGCTGCCGACACGGCACGCTGCACTGGAAGCGAAGGCCCTGGGACGGCAAACAATGGCCCAGGATGAGCGCCCGGCTCTGAGGAAGTCGTCCAGACCTCGAGGGGCCAACGCATCGATAACGTCAGAACGGCTGGATGTCTGGGGCCGGAGGGGCTGGAGGGTCGAGGACGAATCGGGAGAGTCTTGGACCGACTTGGCAGCCGTTTCGAGCTTCGAGGCTGGCGGCAACCTCAATCGTGATCGTCTCCACATGCTTGCAACTCATAGGGACCTAGGCCCAGTGCGGCTGGCACTGTAATGGCGACGGCGTCGGTCCGCGCCGCGTCGCCGATGCAGAGCGAAGCCAGGATCGGGACAGCATCGGATCGGGCTAGATCTAGGTCGGGCATGTCCCCCTACAGGGGATTTTGCCTGAAGGTATTTGAAGTTAGTAACTGTTAGGCGGAGTTATAACTTAGTTGTAACTCATTTATAAAAGTTAGCATGTTGATTTATTTTGGGTAACATGATAGTTTTTCGGCTAACATATACTTGATTTTGGGGCGTTCAATGTTGTTTCAATTTCGATGTTGTGTTTCTTGCGGGATGTTTTGAAAATGTATTCATTGATGTGAAGATGTATACTTCTACATCGCAAGCGCGTCAGCATTCCAATTTGCGATACTCAACTGGCCAAATGCAAGTGATTGCATCGCCGAGACGCCTGTTAATCACAGGGTGCCTCAGCGAGTCCAAAGGAATGAGCACGGGATTATTATCTTCGTCTATGGAGTACCTAGAATAGTAATCTGCGCTGTGCACGTGCCGAGTCTGCAATTCCAAGACTAAGCATGGAGGCCCTGAGGGCGCAGTCTCTGTGTCACAATCTACATGGAACCAGACCTGCACGGCTGCATGTCCTGCAGCACGTCCCAGCAAGCATATGTCTCCTCTATGGATCGGCCCGTACTTGGTCCACGCCGTGAGGCTCGATGATGCCGATTGCGTTTGCGGACGCAACTCCTTCAAGACGCCCATGAGCTTCTTGGTGGCGGCTACGGGGTCGACCAGCGTCGTTGAGATGCTGAAGTGCTCCATGTCGTAACTGTGCTGCGCCGTGAGCTGCATCATCAATGACTTCTCGGGGGTCCTCATGCACAGATGGTCCTTTGCAAACTTCTTGCAAACTTTGTGCTTCCGCTCGTGGACGAAGCAGTTCAAGGGTCCGAATTTGAAGTACATGTCGGCAAGATGAGTTGCCATATGGTGTTTGTAAACCCAATATTTAGTCCCGTATGTGCGCGTGTGTAGCTCCAAATGCTTCATCACGGCGACATCCAGCTCACGTGCAGTCGCGAGGCCCCTGGACGAGAGAATAACCATATCAATGGCATCGCACAGTGCAAGTAAACTTGCAATATGGCCCGAGATGGTGCCTGCATCAGGCAGCTTGGCAATGACTTGCCTGATGAAGTGCGCCAGCACGGGAATCATAGACAGCTATTGCGATGCGTTTGCTTGTAGTTCGCCCTGTGCGAACACGGCATTGGCGGCATGAAATTTGTGGGGCCATGTCCAGTTTGAAAGATAGTCGTTGAGATCTTCGGCGCTGCAGAGTTTGCAAACCGCCTTGTTCTCAGTGAAAGCTTTCATTTCTTTAGCTACGATGCCATTGACGCTATAGATGTGCATCCAATCGAAACAGAGGAGCGACATGACACCGTAGGCGAGGTTGGCGTCCAAGGCAACGTGCGTCGGATGAAAGTTCCAACCCTTTAGCTGCGTGATCTCCTTCCACTTGTTGTCGCTAATCTCACCGCGGTCGTGCCTCTCCCAGTCGGGGCGTAGCCTTTCCAAGATAGCAACGATCTGCGCGTCTGCGTTGGCGACGCGTTTGCTTCTGTCGAGGCATGCGTCCGATATAAATGTACCAGACGTGTCGTGCGACGCATGGTCGAACTTCTGGTTGAGCACGTTCCTGCAGATGGCGCGCGGTTTGGTGCCCGCGTGCCCTTTGTTCATGTGGAATTCACGGAGGGCTTCTTCGTCGCCCACAGTGCAGCCCAACCTCGCGATTATAGTCGCGTGCCTTGTGGCATCCCCTGCTTCTGACACGTCCAAGATAACTCCAGTCGTACGGAAGTTCACCCCGCCAGACGTATTGAACATGAGCTCGTTGCACGTCATTGCAACCGACTGCCCGATCCCTCCAGGCATGTCCCTCACTTTGGAAACCCGAGCGGTGCTGAGCACGAGCCATGCGTCTTCGTCCTGCAAAAACTCATCGAACTCTAGAAACGACCAGTATACAGCATCCACCCCTCGGTGGTCTTTGCCCTTGGCCAACGGGTCACGCGGTGAGATACCGTCGAAATATAAGCAGATGCGCCATGGGGATGCTAGGGAGCACGGGTGCTTGGCGAGCTGGCGGCGCAACAGATCTCTGAACCCCTTACTCCGTTTCGCCGTCGAGTACAAGCACGGGCCAGGGGCGCACGCCCAGTTCTTGAAGCTCTTACCGCTGTTCAATGGCATATCAATGCCGACAAGCACGTCACCGTACTGGTTCGATTCGGCACCGATTAATTTCTGCCTTGCGCTGTACTGCACATAACGCGAAATGTTACCTGGTATACCATTATCTCGTACGTACTTGAGAATGTATGTAAGACTCCGCTCAGATACATATGGGCCTCTGTGTAACTCAATCAGTGCTTCGGCGTCTGTCTTGCGACGCTTCGGTGGCCCCGCCGACATGCTACTGAGTGATGGTAGCATGAATGCGATATCTGCAATCGCAACAGAGGATTGTGCGACGGGTGCCCCTCGCATACGATGGAACAACGACTTGCATTTTACATTGCACCATGCAGGCATACATGAACAATGCACACAAGCGTTATAGCACAGCGAAACAAATCGCGAGAAGTCGCGATCGGCGATGAGCAGAGCAGACAAGCGGCTACGAGCGCTCGTCTATGAACTTCATCGCCTTGGTGAAAGCCTCCTGGCGCGTGCTGCCCGTGTCCCAGCGGATGCGCCTGTCGGACCGCCCCAGGACAGCCCTGTACTGGGACTTGTCTGGCTGCGTGAGTATATACCCCGCGCGGTACTCGATCTTCGGGGCCCCCGTCAGCGGGGCCTTGGGCAGCGGCTTCGGCTTCGCCGTGGGCCTCGGCTTCGCCGAGGGCCTCCGCATGACCACCTTCATGGCCTTCTTCGGCGGGGCGCCCTTCATGACCTTCTTCGGCGGGCCCCCCTCCTCGTCGGCGAGTTCGTCGCCATCGTCGTCGGCGCCCTCGACGCCATCGGCATCGCCCCCAGCAGCTGCTGGACGTTTACTCAGG